TTCGTCGTGTACAAAATAATGAGAAACTTCAAATGTTGAACTAAATAATATGAAAGAAGATTTTTATTTTTTGATTGCGTTCAGGTATAATTTCTTTTTTAATAAGCAATCTTAATAATTGCAAAAATAGATTTTGTTTTTAAAGATGATAGTAAAAATTTAATGATTTATTGTTTATTATAAAAATTTTAGGAATATATTTTAGATATGTAAATATTATAAAATTATATATATATATATATATATATATATATATATATATATATATATATACATATAACAGCTGGCACCCACTATAAAGTTAGAACTAATTAAAATCCTTGAAATATAGTAACAAATTAAAATTCAGCAATTTTTTATTTTATTGGAATTCAAAAATTTTTTTGAATTATAAATATTATTTTAATCTAACAAATTTTCATTTTTGAATAGTGAACTAAGTAGCTATATGCAACAAATCACCGAGTGCTTGTACATACGCGTTTATACCAGTCACGTGTTAGTGAATGGCTCGTGGCACCCACTGCTACTTGACTGTCATTACAGAGTTGTTCCGCGCGCTCGTCGAGTTGTTGCATGTGTTAATCAATTGTAAGAAATTCTTCATTTATTTTATAAAATAAAATTGAAATTAAAAATTATTTTAACTCTAGTTTTTTAAAAAAAAGTTTATTTTTCTAATTAGATCTAATTGGATTTTTTATTTTCATTGAAATTAAGACATTCATAAAATAAAAAACCAAAGTATATTCTCTTATATTATTTTTAAATTTTTTTTCTTACATTTGAATAAAATTACTTTTGATTTTTAAAATAAAATCAGAACATTCTTTTTGAAAAAAACGTTTTTAATTTTTAGTTCAATAAAAATTTTCTTGTTACTGAAAACTGCATGACATTTGTCTGAAGAAAACTAATAAAAGAATTCAATAAAGAATCACTAACAGCGCAGCGGTCACTGACATATTTAGATTTGTAAATCATTAACATAAATTAAAAGATTTAGATTTCCTTAAAGAAAAGAATTATAACAATTTTTTAGAAATTAAAAAAAGTATATTTTAAAAACATTCGTACATTTATTTAAAGCTGCAAAATTTTTACTGTTATTTTAATTTTTATGACTTATTAAATTTTTTTAATTATAAATAAGGCTAAATTTAGGGATCTTGAAGACTTATCAAATGTTTTTTATTTAAGGAAGTTTTGCCTCATGAATAAGTAACATTCTTTTGTTCAGAATCAGAATAACGGAAATATTTTCTTAACTTTCATAATATTTATAAAAGACATCGACGGCGTGACTTTCGGACTTTGGTCTCGTGATCGCAACTGGCCCACTAAGAAATGTGCTCTTATTCATGAACTATTAAATTTTTGTGGAGAATTTATAAAATTAATTGAAATATTATTGAAATAAAAGATAAACATGGAAATAATAAACTTTAAATAAATTTAACAAAAACTTTAAACTACAAAATAATAGTCAAATTAAGATTCTAAAAGAGATATCAGCAGATATAGAATTTCTGATAAATGGAGGAGAATTAATTTACGCAAATAAGAAAAATACAGAATAATAAGTATTTTCTTTATTGATATGTATTTATAAATAATGATAAAAATTTATATACATTTTTTAGGTTTCATAGATTTTCAAACTTTTTGGTAAAATTTTCTTCATTCTGTTCTATAAAATTTTTTACAAATTTTACTAATCCTTTTTTACAGATTTTGAGATGCGATTTTGGTTACTTCCACGTAGTGCATCTTGGAAACAATTTCATTAAAAAATTTTTTTTAAATAAGTTGATATAAATTTTTCTGTAATGTTGAACATTTAATTACATTTTAATGAAATTGGCTAAAAACCAAAACATTAATTTATATTTCTTACACAATGGTTTTTAGGTGAAAAAACCCCATCATCATCTTCTAACCTTTGACAATAATTTGACCGTTGACCTAATCTTGACAGAATTTTGAGAAGCGGTTAAATAGGGAAAGCGGAGGGTTATATAAGGGAAATGAGGGAAGAGGGGGGTGGTATAAAGGGTAATAAGGGAAATGGAGAAGAGGGGGCCATGTAAGAAGGGTGTAAAGAGGGGTGGTAGATAGGGGGTATATGAGAAGGGGGTAAATATGGGATTGTAGAATGGGGGTAAAAAGAGGGAGAGGGGGTATAGAGGGGTAAAGAGGGTGAGAGGGGGTAAATAGGTAGTAAAGGGGGGGAGAGGGGGGTTAGAATTGGGTAAAAGGCGGAGAGGGGTAAAGAGGGTGAGAGGGGGTAAGGAAGATAGAAAGGGAGAGGGGGTTAAAAAATTTCTGAATGGGGTAAAAGGCGGAGAGGGGGTAAAGAGGGTGAGAGGGGGTAAGGGGGAGGGGGTAAAGGGGGGAGGGGGGTTAGAAACTTTCTGAAACAGCGGCGGCGGCGATATGATTTTATATTAATAGGGATAGATAATTCCTCAGAAAGAAGAATAGGAAAAATTCTAACTTAGTAGAATACTTATTTGCCAGAATTATAATTTGACAGAAATCTTATTCACAAATTTTTAAATAATTAAATTCTTTTGACGAATTTCAATAAAATGTTTTAAAATAGTTACATTTTTCAAGGAATTCGATTAAAATTGTGTTAAAAATAATTGAAACTTTGCGATGAGTTTTATTATTTCTGAAAATAATTGAATTCTTGAAAAGAATTTTATAAAAAATTTGTAAATATTCGAATTCTTGTAATATTTTTATTATTTATGAAAATAATTAAATGTTTGCGTACAATTTTATTAAAATTGTTTTTAAATAATTGAATACTGTTGGGTAATTTTATTAAAATAGTGGATATTAAAAATCATTCAAATGAAAAGAATTTTTGAAAATAATTGAAATTTTGACAAGAATTTTATTAAAATTTTTGGAAATAATTGAATTTTTAAGTATTTTTTTATTTATAAAGATAATAATTGGGATTTTGTCAAGATTTTTTTTTGTAAATTTTAAACATAATTAAAGTTTGTGATAAGAATGTTATTACTTTTGAAAATAATTAAATTTCTGCAATCATTTGTAACTTCTTTAAAATTCAATTTTTTAGTGTTTTTAACTAAAATTCTTTTGTAAATCCATTATTTTTAATAAATAATTAAATATATGAGGCATTTCACGTCAGAAATATCACGATTTCCAAAGGGTATGCCGATTTTCGCAAAACTTCGTGGGATTATAGTTCTATATAAGAGACTTCTTTCCCCCAAATTTTTTTTAAAAAAATTCAAAATTGTTGAAGATACGCCATTTTGAATTTTAATATTAATTTTATAAAATTTTGAATATCTCGGAATATTGTTTATTGATTTTTATGAAATTTACACAATTTTTAGGTAAAAGTATGTACTTTAAATTGCAAATAAAGTTAATAAAAAAAATGCATTTTTAAATAAAAATTTTTTTTTTTAATTTTCTGTTTATTTACTCCTCTCTAAGAAAAATGTTATTAACATATTTGGATTCCTTATGAATTCACCTTTAATTTCATAAAAAAATTGATAGAGACTCAACAGGTTCCGGAGATATTGAATTTTTTGTAAAAAATAGTCATAGTTACAGCAGCAATTCACGACTGCGGTAACGTACTACGCGACTTGTGCAGTACGGTGCTATGGCGCGGCGATGCTTTTTTTTACAAAAAATTCAATATCTCCGGAACTAGTTGAGTCTCCAATAATTTTTTTTATAAAATTAAAGGTGAATTCATAAGGAATCCAAATATGTTAATTACATTTTTCTCAGAGAGAAGTAAATAAACAAAAAATTGTTTAAAAAATTTTTTTAAAATTTTTTTATTTAAAAATGCATTTTTTAATTAATTTTATTTGCATTTTAAAGTACATACTTTTACCTGAAAAATGTGTAAATTTTATAAAAATCCATAAACAATATTCCGAGATATTCAAATTTTTATAAAATTAATATTAAAATTCAAAATGGCGTATCTTCAAAAACTTTGAATTTTTTTTTTAAATTTGGGGTAAAGAAGTCTCTTATATAGAACTATAATCCTACGAAGTTTTGCGAAAATCGGCATACCCTTTGCAAATCGTGATATTTCTGACGTGAAATGCCTCATATATTGACAAATTTAACTAATTTTAGAAGATTTTAAATTATTAAAATTTTCCAAAAATCTAAGTTCATTAAAGTTTCTAATTAAATTCATTTAACATTGAAATTTTATAAAATTTCAAATTAAAACCGTTGGAAGTTCATTTATTGATCACAATTGTAAACGTAACTTTATTAAAATTAAATTTGAGATATTTGAGTAAAATTATTCATTAAATAATTTATTTATTTTATGATAGTTGTTCAAGGTTTAAGTTATTTAAAAAGAAATTTTCGTCAGAAATTGAAAAAATTGAATGTTTGGTATTAGAATTCATGGTTTATGAGTTAAAAAAAGACACAAAAATTCAGAATTTTCCTATGAATTCTAAAAATTTTTTTTTTCAGTACTTTTAATGAAAATTCCTGACTTTTCCCTGAATTCTCTATGTTAGAATATATGAATATAATAATAATAATAATATTAAAACTATTTTCCAATTCATATTTTATTTTTATAAACGTTTACCACTAAATATTTTTTAAATTAATGAAAAAATTTTACAGAAAATATAAATTTTACACATTTTTTTTACAAAGCACAAGTAATGTTTTGAAAATTTACTGTATTTGGTACAATGAACTTTGAAAATATAACCATATTATAAACGCAAATAAAATTACATTTCATGAGTTGACAAAAAAATTTTTAAATACTTATTTTTAAATGTTTTTCAATAAGTCATTAGTAATTAAGTTATTTACATTTTTCTAAGAACTTAATACAAATAATATACTTATTCAAATTGTTATACTACGTCATCGGTATCTGGAAGGGGAATTTCACGGTGGGGTTTTTGTTGTGGATCACAACTATAAATTGAACATCACTATAAAGGGTCAAAAAACTTGCCGCGCTCACGTGATTTGCGTTTACCTCTTGAGTAATTTAAGTGTCTCTTTTTAATTATAATACAATGGTCGTATGTTTAACATCAGGAAAAAAGTTTCTTTCAGTACAATTTAGTTTTTCACGGTGGCTGGGTGGGTTAAGATGATTTTCAAAATATAAATAATCTTTCTTTTCGATATTTTTCATCCATAAGAGTTAAACTGAAAGAAACGTGAAATTTCGGTTTTTTCCAAAGAAGTGAAAAAATAGAAAGTTAATAAATTATAAATAGTGAAAATTTTTAAGGGGAGGGAAGAAAATTAAACAATAAAATTTTCTAATAAGTAGCGTAAAACTTGTTTGTTAAAATTATTTTTTAAATTTCTTTTTCAATTTTTGGGACTGTATGTTGATTTGCAAGTGCCTGATATTCTTATTAATATTGATAAGTGCAGGATATCAGAGAAAAATTGATTCAAAATGGCAACTATAGTCAGGGCTATTGTGCAGGGATATAAATATTTTAATGACGAAGTATCAGGTATTTAAACATTGTTACTATTTTATACTTTTTTTATACTTTCTCAAAAGACGTTTTTAAGTGTCTTTTTGTATATGTTCTCTAAACTCTAAAAAAATTTGTTGTAGTCGTCATTAATTTTATGTCATGTCAATTAACGTCTTTTACTTATTTAAAATATACTTTTACATAAAAAATAATTTTTTTAATCCATTTTACTCAAACTTGATACGTGTTTTTTTGGTCCACAATAAAGAAGTTTTGTAATAATCATATGTTTACTTTTGTAAAAAATATTTATTAGAACAGAAGACTTAGCAGTATTTAAAAATGTTAAAAATAAAAAAATTTGAAATTATTGTCTTTTTTGATAAATTGTTATTACGACATACGTATCTATTTCTTTAATAACTATTTTACATTTGAACGTAATAGTGAAGTAAGTTGTGGTTGAAGTTTAAAAAATATTGAATTTTCAATTTTTATAAAATTATTATTGAAAATTTGATTAGTCATTCTTAGTCAGGCTCATTAGTCTCGCTAAAAGTGGTGGCTTGAGTTTATAATGCTGGCCATAGGCTTAAAATTTATGTGAAAAAGAGTAGATTTATATGTTAAGTGGCGGTTTTTAAAATAATATAAGTTTACCGTGTAAGTTTACTGTAACCTTACATGATAAGTTCAGAGTAAGTTCACACGGCAACCTTACAATGACCTATTTAAATTTAGGGTATGGGGCTCTAAGGTGGGCACTTATCTTTTGAACGACTGTAATTCCTAAACGGTGTTATATAACATAATTAATAATATATACCTTGAAACTACCTTGTATCTCCTTAGCTAAATTTTTAGCAAACAAATTTTTTTATTTTACTGAGAAAAATAAAATTTAGGCGACTTTGGAAAAATAGATGAAATTTTGCTTTTAAAAAAACTGGTTCCAAGATGGTCACCATTCAAAAATTTACTCAAAAATTAAAAAAATATTTGCAATAATCAATTTATGGTATTTATTTATTTGAAATGTATTGTTTTTGGCTTATAATCACAGAATTAATAGTTGTAAACTCTGTTTTTTGCTTATAAGAAGTCATTCTAAAATATTGTTAATTATTTTATTATTCATCGCACAATTTTCCAAATCGATAAAATATATATTTTGATAAATATTACATCATAAAAGAATTCAAAAGTGATTTTACATAAAATGCATAGTGGCCACTTGAGGGCGAGGACGACATTTTTAAAAGTTATCAAAAAATTGTATAACACAATTTTATTGATATTCATTTATAATATTATTGTATTATATGTAAACAAAATTACCACAAAGTTTAAAACTTTTAAACTATTAACTGTAATCACAGTATCACTTAAAAAATAATGCTTTCAAACTTTTTATAACCGATATTTAATGATGTCTCTGTTAGAAACAAACACCTAATACATGTCTAAATACAACCAAAAACTTCGTCTTCATAAACAATGAAAATAACCTGAAGCATTCAGTGCTGCTAAATAATGCACAAGAATTTCCCTAGGGTGGCCACCTTGGCACCCTCTACCCAATTAAAATTTTTTAATTTATTTACATTTTTCAATTCATTTCAATTTTTTAATTTATTTTATTTATTTAAATTTTTAAATTTATTTAAATTTATTTCATTTATTTAAATTTTTAAATTTATTAAAATTTTTAAATTAATTAAAATTTTTAAATTTATTAAAATTTTTAAATTTATTTACATTTGTTAATTAATTTATATTTTTAAATTTACTTAAATTTTTTAATTAATTTATATTTTTAAATTTACATAAATTTTTTAATTTATTCAAATTCTAAAATTTTTAAATTTATTTAAGGGTCGGTTGTTGTTTCCTACAAGGGAACTGGACAAAATGAAAGTGTATACCAGCTAATATTTGAATGACATTTTTTTAATTAAAATTATGTATTGCATGCTTCAAAATTGTATACGAATTAAATTAATAATATTGCATTTAAAAGATCATTTGCTATTTAACTGTATACTAGAAAACTGTAAATGATTTAATATAGAGATAAATTTAAATATCGTTAAAGCGCATACAATATTATTAATTTAATTCGTATACATTTTTGCAGTATGCAATTTATAATTTTTATTTAAAAACTAGCTAGTACATTTTCATTTTGTGCAGTTTCCCTGTAGGCACTTAAATTATAGGCGAACAGCCCTAAATTTATTTAAAAAAATTAATTTATTTAAATTTATTAATTTATTTAAATTTATTAATTTATTTAAATTTATTATTTCATTTAAATTTTTAAATTTATTAAAATTGTTTAATTTATTAAAATTTTTAAATTTATTTAAATTTTTTAATTTACTTAAATTTTTTAATTTATTCAAATTTTTTAATTTATTTGAGTATTTTAATTTATTTATTTTCAAAACTCATTTAAATTTATTCTAATTTTTAAATTTGTTCAAATATTTTAAAAATAGGTGTCAATTAATAAATACTTTCCTGACTAAAGCGTTAGGTACCTATTTGTTTCTATTTAAACACTGCTCTTATTTTACTAGGGCTACACATTTTCTTAACTCAATATCTAACACAAAATTTTTTTTTCAAATTTAAAATTTTTTCGTTTCAGTAGGAGGTATAACCTAACATATATCATAGTCAGTTACTTAAAATTATCACTTATCTAAAAGATATTTGAGTTCTATCAAAGAATGCACTTTTATGATTTTTAAAAATATTGGGGAATTCTGTGCTGGGATTATAGTTAATAATTTTGAAAGTGATAAATATCTTCGTGATTCTGCTTATATAATATATATAAAATTATATTATTGTACTATATATAATGTATATAGTAAAATAATATTGCCAAATATTGATAATATTAAATGTTGTAAATTTTTTTTTAAAACTTTAAAAAAATGTCGTCCTGGACCAAAGGTGGACACTTTTTCGGCCCTAAGGTGGACACCTACGCGCTTTTGTGTAAAATTAATTTTAAATTCTTTAGGGTGAAATATTTATAAAAATATGTGTTATAGAATTGATGTTAAAATGTATAAAAAACGCGGATCATGTTATATTTGTACGCAATGTTACTTAGATAATTCAAATTGAATTGTTATTCTTCAGTACAATATTAACTACTGTATAATGATTTAATTAATATTTTATTTTTAAGCAAATTTTTTCCATGATTATGAACCAAATTAACTACTTTTTAAACTTTTTCAGTGAATTTTGAATGGTGGACATTTTAGGGACACATTTTTTAAGGTCGAAATTTCAGCTGTTTTTCAATTTTATTTTGCTTAGTAACTTGAGAGTTGTGGGTCTTTCATTACCTACTATAAAGCCCACAATAACAATTTTCATGCAAATTGAATAAATGTTTGTAAATTTCGTAATTAGCGACTATAAAACCCTCAAATAACAAATTTTATGAAGTATATCAAGTTAGCCAAACAACTTTAATAAAATGAAAAAACTATTATTTGGTAATTTAATCGTGGAATTGACGTGGAAATTGTAGTGCTACGCGAAGTTAGCACCTAAATTTTTTTATATTTTTTTAAAATGTTAATTGCCGGAACTATTGAAAAAATCGTTATTGAACTGTAGAACTATTCCTAAACCCTCTGGGCACGGAAACGTCTTTGTTCTAGAAATGTTTTTTAGAACGTTTCATGTCCTCCACATAACGCCTTAAAAATGTTTGATGTTCCAAAAACGTTTTTAGAACATTGGACGTTCTTAAGCCGTAATGTAGCGGACATGAAACGTTCTAAAAGCGTTTTAGGAACGTTCTCGTGCCCAGAGGGAAGAAACTTGAACTAATGTCATTTTTTTTGTTTTTTGAAAAAGTGGCGCTAATTTCATATGACTATCAAATTATCATTATACAAAGCACAATTTCTACTAAATTTATAAACTATCAATAAATTTAAAAAAAGTTTAACTAAAATGTTGGTATCCATTATGCAACAAATAACATGACCAGAAGCACCATTCAATTCATAGTCCAAAATTAAAAAAAAGTTATTTTAAATAAATTACCAATATTCAAATTCCAACTAAATGACAACATTATCGTTAAAAATTTTTCAATAGTGTCCCCCTTGAAATTTTTTAAATTTCTGATCTTTTTTCGTGGGATCATATACTAGCCGAATTGGCTAGTTTCTCTTGAAAATTGCAAGATAATGTCCGACGTACTTGGAACTTCTCATTTTTTACCCCTGTATTTCACAGCTCCTAAAATAACATAATTGTTGCCGGTTTTAGGACTATTAATTTATTTAGAAATTGATTCCAATGTAATATTTCCGTCTTGAAACCTTAAAAATACTTTTAATTTGCTATAGCGAACAAACATTTTTAATAAAAGGAAACAGATTTACAGAGATATAAATAGATAGTTAATAAAAAATCGTTATTCTAACTATAATATAATTTTATTCTATCAAGTTTTTATTTTATACAACGCTGACACTGCTATTGTCTTGTTGACTCAAATAACCTGAAAACATAAATTGTTTCTTATATTATTTTTTAAATCGTATCTACAAAAGAAAATGTCAATTTTTTTAAAATACACGTATGGTATGAAAAACATTTGAATTTAACTAAAATTCAAGCAACTAGCTTTAAATTAAAACGTTTTATTTACCTTCATGGAATTTTAAGAGAAGCAAGCTTTGCTGCAATGTATTTCATTCTGAGGTATTCCTTAAGTTTTAAAGAACTTTTCTTTCTCCAAAATATTCTGTTTAAATGCAACTTGAAACATTTAAATTCTAATAATTAAATATTTTTTAACTGTTAACCAACTTCCTGATAAGTTAAAAAATTACAGTTCGATAAGTCTTATTGGAACTTATGTAGAAGTTAATCAACGAGCTTTTTAAAAACGAGAATGTTTGTATTATACTTAATGCATGTTTTATTTTAAGTACCTGATTACAAGTAATGTTTATCAACAGATTGAAGAAACATTTGTTTCGAAAGTAATTTTCTTCCTAAGCGATTTATTTATTCCGTCAACATATTTCCAGCTATAGGAAATAACCTCTCAGAGAGCACTGACGTTCCTACCACAGTCAAATACTTCAGAGCAATTTGGGATAAGAAAGGACATGTTATGCTAATTTTTTTCCAGTACAATATTGGATCATCTTTTATTGTCAGAACAGGTGTATTAAGATAATTCCTTAAGTCATTCGGAAGATCTTTAGAATTTATATCTTCTTAGAGAGATTCATTTCCTTTTTGTACTATATTATTATGATCATCCCATATTGAAACAATGGGAATTATTTCTAAAATAAAGAAATTATTAAAGTCGCATAAATAAATTAAAAGGAAACGCTGCTGTAGAATGGTTATTTTTTATTTAAAATTTTACCTGAAGTTGAAACTTGTGAATGTTTAGAATTGGACTCCTTCGGTTGCGAAGATAATTCTCTTAAGAAATTAACAACAAAACGAATGGTTCTTGCTACAGCTATTTTATCATTAAAATGAATCTTCTTAAATCGGGGGTCCAAAATAGTTGCCATGGACAATAGATGATTGTATTCGACCTTAAGGTACTACTACACTTTAGAATTTAAAAAAAATTTATTTTTTTATTCTATTTTTTAACTCCTTATGACTTCAGAAAACACCTCCTAAAGTATTTATAACCAATTGTAAAAAATAAAAGTAAATTTTTCAAAAAGTATTCAATTAATGTAAAAAGTCATTATCAAATTAAGTAAGTCTTTAAGGGGATGGTGGGGTCCAACTTTTTGTTACGACCAGTAGAAACATTGATGCTAATGTATGTAACAGTGTCTGAAATAAAAAAAATGGTGGGGTTTCAATTTGCAAAAGAATTTTAGGTAATTTATGGATGGCCTCTAACGATACATATAAGTTTAAACGCCCTTAACTAATGCCCTTAACACTACATGAAACAAATCGTTGTTTACCTTTCCTGATGAAAATGTTGCAGTACGTTTTCCCTGTCCGTAACTCCTGCTAAAAGAAATTAGAAAAGACTGTTGAGGGAATACGTATTCGACAGGGAAATCTTTTTCTTTTCGATACTTACAAATTTTAAGAATTCATAGTTTCCGTTCCTTATAATAGGTATTATGCGGCAGTTTGACGAAGATAAATTATCTTCTAAGTCACGATTTGTGTGATTTACATATACGGTGCACTTAACCTTTTTCTTAAGTTGTCCTAAGTTTCTCCAATTTTTAATTTCATTCTGAGCAATTTTCATTTTTCGTTTGGAAATCTGAGAACCAGCAATGCACAGTCGTCTTTGTCCATGGCCCTCTTCTTCTTCATCTATTTTAATTAAAGTCTCCGTTTTTGCACGCAATACAAGCTGAACTGTTAACTTGATCAATTATGTTCATTTCAGTTGATAAATCCTTTAGAGGACTAAGTTGAGGGAGAACTTTAGGAGAACTTGTTGAAATTTTATGATCCTCCATGAAGTAGAGATTATTTAAAGGGCTTTTTTCAGGTAGAGAAAATTTATTGAAGTTTCAACTTCTGGGCACTTGCGTTCAGTTTTTTCCTGTTTGCAGTTGATTAATTTTAATTTGCCCTTATAATAATATTAATTTCTGAACCGCTTCATCTATCCGCTCCATTTCAGTTATTATGCGTTTCTTAATATTTTTTAAATTCAGATTCAATCGGTGCACTACTAGCAGGAACTCGTCTATACCCAAAATTGTCCCTGTAGATGCAAGACCATACATATTGATGTCATCTTCTTCTTTAAGTTTTATGTCAATTTTCTTTTGCATTGATAATGCCCAGTCATGTAGAATACCTTTTTTTAGGTTTTCAAATTCCTCTGGGTGAATTGTTCTGTATGAATATTTTCTTCTTTCTTTAATATGTAATTTCATGCCAATCTAATGAATTTGTAAATAACTTGACCTCCACATATTAGATCCGCCGTTATAAATTATTTTACCCTGACTGCGTATTCGTATAAATAGACCCTGAAACCCCACGAGTAACAGTTTTCAAGTAAATCCAGTTTTTGATTTTTTGATTGTTGCGTTGCAAATGAGCGTAAAGAAACACTCATTTTGAAGAATCTCGTCTTCATTTAAGAACTTTGTTTTGCATTTGTCGATTTCATATCTGAAAATTGAATAATTATTAATTTTTAATTTGAAGAAAATTTATCTCTACAAAACAAATGTTTCATTAACGTACCTCACGTACATTAAACTTAGATATAAGTTTAATAATTCCCCGACTTCTAACGCGTCATATCTATTAATTCTTCTATATTGTATTGTATTTATGGGAGCATTTTCTTTAATTTGATATACACTACCGTCCACGAGTATAAGGACGATTACACGCGACTCTATGAAAAAGCATGCCATCACTTTTTCAAACATATCTCGTAAATAAGAGGAGATACAAAAAAAACTTAAATACGGTTAGAAAGCTGATTAAATATTGCGCAAAATCAGCCGTCTTTGAAGTCATTTCGTCAACTATTTTTTGAGTTGTAGAGTAAAAAAGAAATAAAAAAAAATTATCAAATTTTCTCATTTTGGTCTCTTGACTTCAACTTTTTTAAAAATGTGGAAAAATTTAGGTACCTTTTTTTTTAAAACAACTGAAGACTCGATTCTGGCTTCGCGCGGCTGCGAATGGGAGAGAAGGCAGGGACGGATTTATGCTGGAGAATAATAAATAATGATGTTTCACGAAAAAATAAAGAAACTCGAAAGTTCACCATTCCCCCGCATGAATTCGTCACTGCTTTTTCTCTCATTCGCAGCAGCGCGAAGCCACAATCGAGTCTCCAGCATAAATCCGTCCCTGCCTTCTCTCCCATTCGCAGCCGCGCGAAGCCAGAATCGAGTCTTCAGTTGTTTTTTAAAAAAAGGTACCTAAATTTTTCTACATTTTTGAAAAAGTTGAAGTCAAGAGACCAAAATGAGAAAATTTGATAATTTTTTTTTATTTCTTTTTCACTCTACAACTCAAAAAATAGTTGACAAAATGTCTTCAAAGACGGCATATTTTACGCAAAAATTTAATCAGCTTTCTAACCGTATTTAAGTTTTTTTGTATCTCCTTTTATTTACGAGATATGATTGAAAAAGTGATGGCATGCTTTTTCATAAAGTCGCGTGTAATCGTCCTGATACTCGTTGACGGTGGTATAATAGTATATTAAGCAACAAGGGTATAAAGGCAGCCATTTGTTTACGGTGATTTTTGTGACACTTGTTCCGGTCTCGGGGCGCCTACGGCGCCCTCGACCTCCACTCGTGTCACAAAAATCACCGTAAACAAATAGGCTGCCTTTATTCTCGTGTTACTTACGATATTTTTTATTCCTAATGAACAAAAGTGGCGATTTCAGATAGCAGACGACAGGGAGAAAAAGTCATTCACTTGTTGGACTTATATGAAAATGGCGGCCTATTTTCTCCCTTGGGCAAAAATAACGCATGGGATCAGCGGTTATGTTTGCACAAGGGAGAAAATGGACGCCATTTTCATATGGTCGAACAAATGAGTTACTTTACTCCCTGTCGTCAGCTATCTAAAAGCGCCATTTTTGTGCATGTGGGATAAAAATAATTAAATTGCTTTTTATTGTGAATAATGCTTATTATACTATAAGAAAACTTTGAAATAATTGCAAATTTTAATTTATATAATTTTATGCTAATTTATATTATAGATCAACTTTGCTTCAATGGCTAATGTTTTTTCTAGATCCGAGAACAAAGGACTGGTTTCTTATGAGAACTCCATGGCCAGGAGTGACCTTATTGGGATTGTATTTGTACTTTGTTTTTAATGTTGGACCAAGATTTATGTCAAATAAATCTCCTTATCAGCTGGACAGAATAATGCAAATATATAATGTTTTGCAAGTCATCCTTAGTTCAATTTTATTTTATAAAGTACGTATCAGAAAAATTTAAATATGTAAATAGGCCATATGCTCAAAGGATTGTATCCTTCACTAAGAAATAGAAAATTCGTTTCTTCGTCTTGTGTTTCATTGCACATTTTTCTTAACAGTAGTGTTTTTTTTTAGAAATTTTACATTTATTAGTATTGCTTTATGGAACAATATTATTAAAAACTTTTTTAACTATAACTTATCTTAATTTCGCTTAATTTATTAATTTTCAAAATGTGGCACTGGAGTGCGAAATCGCCCGTAAAATATCGAAAATAACGATAATGTCATAAAATAGTATATTGGAAATTTCAACTCGATAGAATCACTTTGCTACAATTTCTCGTCGACATTCACAGTCGAATTTCTCGTGATACTCGTCAGTTTCTCTCATGAATTAGCAAACTTAAATATCTCGAAATTGATTTAATTAGAATATGCGTTTATTCTTGTTCTCAGTAAAAGACTGAGCGTTTTTTCGCGCGACGAGCACGACTTTTACAAATTAAAGATGTCGCTTTATTAAATGTACTACAAAAGTAGTCGGTCAAATTATAAATGGGTTGTGTCTGAAGGACACTGCAAAATAGAGATAGAAAGCCTACACTATTTTTTTTTAATAAAAAATGGATTATCTGAATTTAATCGTAATAAATATTTTCCTTTAACAAAAATACGTATAGAATAATGTACCTGAACGATTTTTCAAAGAAAAGTTATATTTTCTAAATTGTTTATTAAAAATTGTTTACATAATTTTCTTGCAATGAATTTGCAATATACAAAATGATTATAAGTGTTTTTGTTGAAAATTGTGTTATTTTACTACTACTTTACCGGTTTGGGGTATTATTTTAAATTGTTGAGGTATATGGTTAAAATAATATACTTGTGCAGTTTAAGGAGGAAATATATAAAACATATTTATTAAATGTAAATGAGATTTACAAAGTTGAGTTGTTCATAGAACCAATGTTAGCAACAGACTATCTCATTCCGCAAAATAGGCACCTAAGTGCTCTGTACATTTGTCTACCTGAATTACCTGAATCTTTGCCAAAAAGTGAACCTTGAAGAAAATACACTAAGTGTATTACACGTCATATTTTTGGAGATAATCCATTATATATTTTTTATAAGTGGTAAAAATCCAGTTTTCTAATCCCTTATAACTATTTACTACTCTATTGAATAATTATAGAATATTAAACACAAATGTTGAGTATTCGCTATCTCATTTTCATTTTTGCAATATAAAATGCCTAAATCAATAGTACCTTTTAAATTACGAAAGATTTGTTTAAATAACACCAAGTGACTTTGATTCGTTTTTTCTAAATTTTTAAAAATTACGTTTACCGCGAAGCTAATATCTGGTCGTGTTAACATCCTTAGTGCTTGTGATTGAAAATTCTTTACTCAAATCTTTTATTAATTTGTCAATTAAGTTTTCGTTTGTTGTTGCAATTAATCCATCATCTACTTAAATCGTTAAAATAAATTTTTTCACCCTGTTCTGAATAAATATAAAAACATGGATCAGCAACACTTTGTTGAAATCCTAAACATTTAATAAAATTTGTGAAAAACTCTGTCCAGCGACCAGCCTTTTGGAGCTTGTTTAAACTATATACACTTTTTGATAATCAATTCCTTCCTTTTGAGAATAACCCTTTATTACTAATCGCGCTTTAAATCACTCCGAGCTGTCTGGATTGAGCTCTTTAGTAAAAACCCAACGACTGTCAATAACTTTTTTGTTTTCTGGTTTTTTAACTAATTCCCATGTTCCATTTTCATGCAGAGAGTGCATTTCACCTCGCATCGCAAGTTGCCAATTTTCCTTGTATTTTTTAGTTTACCGCTTCATTATAACTTAATGGTAATCTGTCAGAAAATAAAGAGATAGGAAAGCCATAAAATATCGTTTGTTTAATTTGTTTTCTGTTTCGAAATTCTGTACCCGCATGATTAATTTTATTTGAAGATTGCAGTTTTTTTAAAAACAATTTCATTTAAATTATTTTTTGAAAAATTAAGATCAGTATCTTCAGAGATAATTTCAATACCCTTTTTATCGTTAATGTTTAGAGAAATAATATAAATCATTTCATTTGATACTTTTTCTGGTTTAAACAAAATATCTCTACTACAAATGACATCTCTTAAACTTTGTAGATATATGCGATAACCTTTACAATCATCAAGGTAACCTACCAAATAACCCTTTACAGATTTTTTATCTAGCTTTTTTTTCTTTCCTTTCGGTATATGCGAAAAACATTCAGTTCCGTAAATTTTTAAATTGTCAATTTTTGGCGTTTAACTGAACCATAATTCATAAGGAGTTTTGTCACCATATCTATTTGGACCAGTACGATTGATAACATTAACGGCAGTATTCATTGCTTTTGCCCACAAAAACAAAGGTAAATCTGAATTAGAGTAAAGCATTGTTCGAGTAGCCTCAAGAATCGTTCTATTTTCGCGTTCCGATATTCTGTTTTGTTTAGGCTTATAAGGGACATTAACTGAAAACTTAATTCCTTTATTATTTAAAAAGGTTTCAACATCTTTATTAATGTATTCCCTTCCTCCATCACTGTGAATTTTTTTAATTTTCTTATTAAACTAATTTTCAACTTCCTGAACAAAAGTTTTTAGCTTTTCAAATACTTCGGATTTATCACGCATAAAATAAATTTTTCGATAACTCGTTTAACGAATGTTAAAGTAAGATAGCTTGTCGGTCAGGGTTCGTTTTGAAAAAAGGTTTTAACATTCGATCAGAGTCAAAATTCGATATTTATTTAAGCAAAAAACGATAAAAAGTGAAATACAAATACGACATATAAACAATAAAAAATGATAAGAATAAACTCGTAGAGGCGAAAACGTCGTTTGACGACAAATACGACGCGAAAACTATTATTACAATGGACAATGACGTAAAAGCGCGAACGGACATTTGTGAATCCACAAAACGATAAATTTCTATCGACGATACGACCTCTTAATCTCTGCTGCGGTAAAGACCGCTTGTGGTAAAACCACTTTACTCTACTCGTGGTAAGACCACTGCGAGAGACCCTATCGCGGTAATACCGCTTCGAAAAGTGATGCTCTCGGACCGTGCTTCCGAGGCCCTCGATTCGCTTGGCGCTGGAGGGAGAAGGTCTCAGCGGGGAGAGACTCCCTAGCTCGCGATTGGCCGAAGTGGGACTCGCGGGGTGCGCACGCACCGTCCACACTCAACATACACCAATTTCTGTACGACGATTTATACAAAACAAAAACGTTTTCTGTATTTACAGAGAATAAATATTTTCAATTTAACAATAATCGTCACACTCGAAAAATCATCTTTGAAAACTACAAAATAATCTTTCTTACCGATTGACTCTACTTCCATAGGACCACAATCGTCAGTGTAAATTATTTCACGATCTCTAGTTGGTCGATCAACCTTTTTATAAAAAATTAAGCGATGCTGCTTGCCATAAGAACATCCGTCGCAAAAGAAATCTATTTCTTCAAATTTAATATTTTCATTTTTTAAATAATTACAAACATGTCTTATATTTTATTGGCAAAAACGTTTATGACATAATTGCAATGAATTGATTTTACTTGATTCAGATTTTTCTGCTAAATTACACGAATTTGAAATTAAAACATTTACGTCTAATTTTAATAAATTACCGAAGGCCAATACTGTAGCTATAATCTTATTATTTTGCTTTAATAAACATTTTTTTGGAACATAACTAAGCCAAAATTTGCAGACCTGTGTAATAATCATTTACTGAAAAATTAATTAAATTTCGTTTATTTATGTAGATAGAACTTTCAAAATTACAAAAAAAATTAATTTCTGAAATGCAAATTAATATTTGTCTAAATTATTTTTAATTATAACTATTGAAATTTTTGTAAAAGAGGTTGAACAATTTAAGTAATGTAATAATTTTTTAAAAATATTTTTAGGCACTTGCATTAGCTTGGCTGTGGGATTACAAATTTGCTTGTGAACCAGTAGATTTTTCAACTGATCCCAAAGCTATAGAGGTAAAAACTATGATTTTTTAATTAAATTTTTACCTATATTATATTCAATTTATATATTTTTTTAAATCAAAATGTTAACAAATGTAATCTTGGATTAATTTTTATTACTATATTGCAAATTCTTTAATCTTGAGCATTTAAAATTTGTTTAAAAAACTCTTATGTTGCAAGCCTAATTGTAATTATAACCCTCTGTTAAGTTCTCTTATAATTTCTATCCATCCTTTTTTTACTTTAACAAACTCCAGTGTATATCAAAAAGCTGTACACCGTTTCATAACACACAAAATAATACTCGGTGTCGATGAAATTGTCACCAACCGAGTGACAATTAAGAGTAGAGTATATTCCTACTAGGGGATGCGACTATTACTCTTATGTCAAAGTTGATATGACCATATCTAAAACATTGATAACTAGTATATTTTATTAATTATTTTTAGATCGCTGGAACTGTTTGGCTTTATTTCATCGTAAAAATAATTGATCTTCTCGACACAGTGTTTTTTGTATTTCGAAAAAAGTACAATCAAATATCGTTTCTTCATGTATATCATCATACAGGAATGGTAATGGGCGCCTGGGGTGCAGTTAAATATCTTCCAGGAGGTCATGTTACATTTTTAGGTAAGATAGATATAATTATATGTAATTAGATAATTTAAGGATATACAGTACGAAAACCTAACACGTCAGTCATATCCCATGAGTGGGAGTGAGACAGACTTATGCGATTCCCATACTTTCTTATGACTGACGGATAGCTTTTCTTACTATATTTGTTTACACTTTTAAGTTTTTAAGGGACCTACTTCAGGAGCACATGGATTTATTTAAATATAAGCAGTTTATTTATATAGGAGTCAGAATACCTGAAAGGAGCCACTCAAAACCTTTTAATTTTCTTTTTTATTGTAATGTAGTTACTTTAATAGTAGGTATTTAATTTCAGAAAACATAATGTCAACAATTAATTTCTTAAAAACTTATTCATGGATTTTAATGGTTCAATTGGCATTTTAGTTGTCTTAAAATAATGTATAATTGACTTTATTTTCAATAAAAAATATTTAATTTTAGTACAACAAGCAATTGTTTATTCATAAAAATTAATAATGAATAGTGTTATGGACAATATTTCTAGTATTTTTAGTGCATTTTAACTAATCATTTAGCAATAAGATTTCAATAATTGTAGTTCACAAAACAGAATTTTCCTTGCGTTCAAATTTGCAGCAAATTTTTTATAATTATCGTGCTATCTGTGTAACATCATGACGTCATATATAGTATATTATTGAATATAGTCATTATAATATAATTAATTCGTAGTTTTCTCAATACATGCTTTTAACTTAGGATAATGTTAAACTAATATTAAATTATAAAATTTTGTTACAGGTTTAGTCAATTCTTTCGTCCATATTATCATGTACAGTCATTATTTGGCAACATCCTTAAAATTGGGTAAGCCTTGGTGGAAGAAGTACATCACTCAACTTCAACTGGTGCAATTCGTTTTAATCCTCTTTCATTTCGCACAACTAGTTTGGGTTAAAAATTGTGAATTTCCAAGATGGCCAGCAGCAGTTATGATCCCACAAAATCTTTTTATGATTGTCCTTTTTGGCGATTTTTATTATAAAACTTACATTAAGAAAAATTTAACTAAAAATGTAGAACAAAATGGAAATTCAAAAATAATATCTAATGGAAAGTCAAAAAGTCAGTAAAAATTAAATGAAAATTACATTTTCATTTTTATCATTTGAGATTTTCCATTGATCATGAAAAATTCAACAATATAAGGGTTTGTCCGAGGGGAATTAAAAAATAAGACAATTCAATTCGTTAAAGTTAAAAAATAATCGAAACATCCCTATAAAATTGGAAAAAGTATATGCATACAATTATAACCAATTCTTATTTAGAAAAGCATCCTAACCCTTTCGGACTTACTCTGTTAAACATGCAAATCATACTCGATTTTAGAACTTCATTATAATAATTATTCAGAGAGTTAGACAGATTGTAAATTTACGAAATTAATTAAACAGTCAGGAGAGATTGGAGCAAGAAAATTTTATTTACTCTCAGTAGGATTTTATTTAAAAGAACATTATATTCGTATTTAGCACCAAATTTCACTTTGGAATTTACTTAACTAAGTAAATGTATGGAAGGAAATATTCGCGAAAAACTGAAATAAATCATGATATAATATTTTACCAAAAAATATGTTTAACATACATCAGTATTTAAGTAGCGTTTTCAATTGGTAGCCGGTAAGGTTTAAACTTTTTTTCATCTTCTGGCATCGAGATATTCTTATTATTCTTGCCCCATTCTCCTCTACTATTTTATTATAAAAATAAAAGAATGCCTGTATTATTAAATTCATAAAATAATTTTTATTATTATTTTGCAAACTAAGTTATTTAATATGTATATTTTATTATAAATTAGTATACAAGTTTGAAAAATTTGTATTTCTCAAAGTACATAATTTTAAGTATAAAATTGGATAGACGTCGACATTGACTTTGAAAGCCTTTCATAGCAATATTATAGAAGATTAAAAAAACCCAGTAATAAGGCAGGAATAGAAAAGAATTACAATTTTTTCATATTCTCGAAAATTTAATATTTTCTTATTATATTTAATCCCGAAAATTACTTCTTAATTTCTATATCTTCAAAATGGACAGATTTAATTTTCTTAATTCCAAACAATGCCTTCTGGAAAAAGTGATGTTGAATATATTTTATTTTTAAACTGGAATAGACTTGAAATCTTCTAAATAGAATTTAATAATGAAAAGTAGAAATTTCCGTTCATATTCAGTCTCACGTGAATTGAAATAAATAGAAATTTGCAAATTTCTATACGTGAGATTAAAAGAAGAGAATTTTCGGAATTAACTCTTTTAATTCCATTCTATTCTAGTTGTTTTACCGGGTAGATATAAAATTTGTATTTTTGCAGAATTTAATATAATAGTAAGAAGATATTTATCTATGATTTTAAATTAAACTAAGCTATGAATGATTTCAGTTCAGAGTTTATAGTGTAAAATATATAAAATCTTCATGGTATTCCTAGTGTAAGTAGGAATGACCTAAGATTCCATTGTAAATAAGAGTCATGTATACATACTTAAAGATCTGAAACACTAATAATTATAATATTAATTATTAAACTGTAGTATAATACAAACTTTATTAAGGCCTTCTTAACTTATCATTTTTTTCTTTATCATTAAATCCGGATTTTTACACTTTCAGATATTTTGTATTAGAATTCAAAAATAAGTAAATAACATAATATACCGGTAGCCTATGAATTGTATACTTTCGTCCAAGGAAAGTTAACTTAATAATTAAGAACATAATGTAATTAAATTATTATTTAAATTAAATTACATTAAATTAATGTATATTCATTAAAGTAATTAACTTATTACTTATGATTTACAATTTACTGCATTTTTTGATAGATTCTTCAAAGAAGTAGGTAGAAAGTGACTCATTTTACCCGCGTTCACTTGAAAATTCATCTACAATTTTTAAACGTCTTCAAGGTGCACTCTGGTGTTTTCGGGTGAAAGTTAGAACGCATTCTTGAACGAAAGATAAACAGTACGAAGAGAGAAAGCGAAACGCGTACGTCGACGATTAAACCAATCGAGAGCTGTTTATTGTATTCCTTAATTTAGTTATTACGCATTAAATAAAAAAAATTATTGAATTAATCCTATTGTGCTGAGATTAAACGATCACATACATCTACTGATAAATCCGCTTATTAATTACACCAACAAACAAAAAAATTAAATTTAAATGGACTGCCATGTTGTAGGTTCACTTCCTTAAGATGTATCTAAAGAGAAACGTAGTCCGACATCCAAGTTAGTTCGCGTTCTCTTTTTATAGGCATGGTGATTTGGATTTAGTGACTATAATAACATAAAAGTTAGATATATAAACAAATTAAAAAGAGCGGATTCAAAATGGCGGATCTAAAATGGTGGATTTAAAAAAAATTGTTTGGATTTTCTTGTGGGTTATAATTTCAATAAAAATAATTGAATTTCTCTGGAGTAATGTTTTTATAAAAATAAATTAGTTCAAAAACTTTTTATTAGTTATAAAAATATTTGTATTACAGGCTCCATGATTACTCTTTCACCAGAGTTTAAACACTCCATGGAGAAATTGATTTTGTAAGGAGGAGAAGATTCTGTCGTTGGGCATTAAGAAGAAATCGAGGAGATCCTAATTTTCCACAACGTATTCCTTTTACAGATGAATGTCGTTTCGAAAAGATGGCACTTAGAATTTTCGGAATGAGCATTACTGGAGCGAGAGAAATCCGTTCGTTGTATAATGCCTCAAAATTTCCAAGTGCGTTTCCCTGTACATTTGTGGGCATGAATTGTTGATGGACGTTTAATTAGTCCATATTAAATTCATGGACGTTTAAGTGGACCAACATACAACGAGTTCCTGCGCGTGCACCTTCCACGACTATTGGCGGCTGAAAGGCATTCAGGTTGACGAAATCATTTTTATGCAAGATGAGCATCCTGCCCATTGCACCCGTCAGAACATCTTGCACTTGCATGATATTTTCAGTGAACGTGTGATTTCACTGGGCTCTCGAGTCGAGTGGCCTCCGAGATCACCTAATCTCAATCCACTCAATTTTTTTTATGGGGATGGCCCCATAAAAAGAAATTGAGTGGATAAATAAATAAATAATAAATAATAAATAATAAATAATAAATAATAAATAATAAATAATAAATAATAAATAATAAATAATAAATAATAAATAATAAATAATAAATAATAAATAATAAATAATAAATAATAAATAAATAAATAATAAATTATTTAATTCACACGTTTATCTTACTCCTTTAGCGAATATTGAGCAACTGTATCAGAGGCTGACGGAAGCATTATAGACTATTTCACCTGAAATGCTCGAAAGGTCTGCAGAAAAATTTATAACGCGGCTGAGGTGGTGCCGCCGTCGTGGGGTTGGTCATTTTGAGCCAGGATTACCTAAGGATGTCAGGCACAACTTGTAAAAGGACATTATTCAGCCAGTAAAAAAGGGATTACCACACTGAGAAAACTGTTTGGTTCCGGCAACGAAAACTTGGTTGTACTAACAGAATCTTTTATTTGAAATATGTGCAACAAAACCGTTTGGTTAGGCGAACCAAATTTTTTTGTCGAACCCCACACAGCACTGAAACTTTCCTAAAAATTTATTAAAGATTTACTTTCTAAATTAGAAAAATTTACTTGCAAAGCTTAGTGAAAGTAGTGTAAATATTTAAATGTCCCACTTCAATAAATGTTTATCGACAAATTTTCCTAAAAATTTAGCTTAAAACTTTTCTGAACATTTAAATCAAATTTTCGCTTATATACAGTAGGCGAATTTTTTTAATTTTTAGGAAAGTTTCACGCTAAACCAATTTTTAAAATTAAAAATGGCGGATCCAATTAGAAAAGGGTAGAAAAAAATCTTAATTTTTACTAAGTGAAATCTTCAACTTTCAGCTTTTTTAAGGCAGTTTTGGAAAGACTATAAAATTTTCCGTTAAATGATTATATATCCAAGACTTATGGATAAATAATACCTATCGGAGATATGAAGAAATAAGAATAGGTACATCCAACTTTCATGGATTTCAAATTTTAGAAAAGTGTTTAGAAAGATGTTAGATTTGTACGAAATGAAAGCTAAACTTTCTGTATTAAAATAAGATCAAAAACACTTTAATCTATTCATTGGTTCCTAAGTTATGAGTTAATTATTTTAATGAGTCACGAAAAATTTTCAATGAACTGATTCAACTGTGTGCTCGTCTCGCTGAGCCAAAATTGGTTAGTGTCCGAGTAGCCAATGAATATTGGTTTGGTCTTATTTTAAAGCTAAAAGTTCAAGCTTTCATTTAGTACAAATTAAGCACTTTTCTAACACTTTTCTAAAGTTTTTAATGACACTGTAGAAAGTGGTCTCTTAATTCCGACCGGTGTTTTGAATTTTAAAAATCTAAAATCAGATTCTGATTTAGCCACCCCGAAAACCCCCACCAAGTAACAAGTTTGAATTGATTTCATTTATTTCAAAATTTTTTAAGCCGCCTTACTGGATGCGCCATTTTTAATTTTGAAAATTGGACATCATATTCGTAATCAGTGACCCCAAAAGCCTAGAGTAACACGTTTCAAGAAATTCCGAACAATTTTTTAAAAAATTCACCATTTTAGATCCGCCATTTTGAATCCGATATTTTAAATTTTTTTTATGTATCTAACTTTTATGTTATTATAGTCACTAAATCCAAATCAGCATTCAGAAGAAGCGAATAATCAGTGTTAGATCGGTCCATGAAAGGGACAGATCTTTATTGAGGTTTCATCATTTTAAGGTTTTTCAACGGACCCCTTTCATGATGAGTTGTGTCTACGAAGTAGTATATAAGGAGACCTCACGGGAAATAAAAATGTGCACACATTTGGGGGGACAGAAATCTAGGATATTGCACCAGTAGCAGAGGTGGTTAAAGTATTGTACTAAAATTTTTTGTCTGCTACTGTATATGAACATAACCTACAAATTAGAGAAATACGACGAAGTGTAATGGCGGCCATGGTTTACATTTCAGCCGCAATGGCTCAACCTCTGCTAGTGGTGAAAATACTCATAACTCTAACCCCCCAAAATGTGTTGATTTTTGACGCTGCTATAAGCATTGGCCTGAGGTCTCCTTATACTACTTCGTGGTTGTGTCTTTTGATTCCCCTAGGTTTGGGCTTGCGAGAAATATCACTCACAGTGTCTGAGAATTTCTGTGGATCTTCATGGTTCAAACCACTAAATTCTGGAAAAGGTGGAGGAGAAGCTTTAAGAGCGCGAATGCATGAAGGAGTGCGGAAAAGAACTATATATAGTTCGAAACTATAGTTGGTATCTTAAATAAATTTCATTTAAAAACAAACCGTATCTAGGCCTTCTCATTACTCTACAAAAAATAGACATTTAGACTTTAGTCTAAATGTTTATATTGTTACATGCGTTTAATAGCACAAATTGTAGGTTTTGGGGTTATGTCAAAAGCATTATCTGATAAAATTAAACTGATCTCAGTTTCGTAATCAGTGACCCAAAACCTCCGAGTAACAAGTTTCAAGCGAATCCGATGAGCCTTTGAAAAACGTGTCCGCCATATAGGTTTTTTGAGGTTCTGCCAAAATCCTGATCTGATGGAGTTAAATGGACCTCGGATTTGGGGATTCAGCGACCCAAAAACATAAAATACATAGTAAGACCCCAGATAAGAACTTTTTTTGCTTGTGGCTGTGTTATTTCTTTGTTGATGACTACTATGGTTAATTTTGTTAAATAAATAAATTTTCGGTAATTTCAATATTTCGACGCCTCCCGTTCATATAATGCTTATTGAAAAGCGAATGCAAGATTATTCTTACTCACTTTTTGGTGCAAGATAATGCTTATTCGATTTTCCGTGCAATAAAATGCTTATTCAAAATTGTGTGCAAAACAATTGCCACTGACAGATCAATAAATGTAACCCTAAATTTTCCTATTAATATTAAATTGCAATTAAATATCTGAGAATTTTAGTACGTGTTTATTGTTATAAGAACCTTCAAACATGTATTCTATCACACGTATTAAGAAATATTTTTTTAACAATTGTAATTATAAATTACAATGAATTGAAATTTTCATAAAATTTATAGAATAAGCTAATTTCAGAATGTACATTTTCGAGTAGAATTTTGAATAAGCATTTTATTGCACGGAAAATTGAATAAGCATTATCTTGCACCAAAAAGTGAATAAGAATCATCTTGCATTCTCTTTTCAATAAGAATTATATGAACGGGAGGCATCGATTTGCATTAATTTTAAAACATTATTTTTAATTGCCACAAAAAAATAACAAATTATTTAATTTGTCTTACCAGTATTGTAAAGCAAGATATTATATATATATATATATATTATATATATATATATTATATATATATTATATATATATTATTATATTATTATTATTATATTATTATTGTATTGTATTTTCGTCTACTTTCTTTTGCAAATTTAATCAATTTTATGACTGTCAATATTTTCAAGATTTTTCTAATTATTACTTATACTTTCTTAAACATTCACTTGTTTTTACAAACTGTAATTATGTTGCTAGTTATTTATTACCACTTTGATTTTTAAATTATCGTCGCAATCGTCAATCTACATAATTTTTTACCAATTGTCACGTTACATTTTATCTCAATTATTAAACACTTTTACACAAATTAATTTCGGCTTGTATTTTTATCAATTGTTCACATTTTCTTATCAACTATCATCTTTATTTTGTTTTAATTTTAATTAATTTCGTCAAATACGAT